AACAAATCTTAAAATTCACCATAATCCATACTCGCAAAACACACAAACTGACTCCCGAAAAGACACTAGAATAAAAACAGAAAATGAAAATACCCTAAAAGAACTAGACCTGGTCAACCACATAAGGCACATAATCATGCAAAAACTCCCCCACACTTAAAACCGAACAATGTCCCCATTGTTGATCATCAGTGCAAAGAAAGTCTACCCATATAATCAACCAATCACAAAGACAGAAAAAACCAAAACAAAAACAAAAATAAGGAGAAGGGAAAAGATACAAGCGTACATGGCACAGTGACTAGACTAGTCACTGTGAGTCCGGTGGTGCGGGCGGAGGGTGGAGGTAGTCGGGCCCGAAACAGCGGTGGGCCTTTGTCAGCTCAAATCTCTCGCCCCATTGGAATCGGGGCAACTCTCTAGAACTCAACTGGCGGTCAGTATGGCAGCCTTTCTCAACATTACTACGGTCCCGCAATGACCTCTTGGTGTGCTCCCGCAAGCACGCCTCCTCAGTGAGCTGCTCAATTGCCCTGAGGTAGGCACACTCTTCAATCACTTTCGCCTGCGGCTCAGGTCTGGTCTCTCGAACGGAAATAGCGACAGACTCGCCCAATACTCTCATGCTGGCCGTCCCCCTCTTCACGTCTATAACAGTACTCGTGGTCGCCATGAAGGGTCTTCCGAGGAGGATGGCGTGCTCCTTACCTTTGTCTTGTACGCTCCCGACATCAAGCACGACAAAATCCACGGGAACTATCAACTTTCCTACTCGTACGAGCACATCCTCTACAATCCCTTCTGGTCGACGGTAAGAGCGATCAGCTAGCTGTAGGCGCATGCCGGTGGGCTTCAAGTTTCCTAGCCCGAGTCGGTGATAAACTGCAAGTGGCATGAGGTTGATGCCTGCTCCAAGATCAAGCAATCCCGATGTCTCTTCCCCATTCCCGAAGGCCATAGTGATCACAAAGCCTCCGGGATCTTTTTCTTTCTTCGGCAAGTCATGCTGGAAGACACTCGCCGCCTCACAAATTATCACCTCATCATCGTTGTCAAACCGCTTCTTGCTCGTGGCCACTTCCTTGAAGAATCGTGCATGGGCCGGTATTTTCTTCAACACCTCGGGAGGAGATAAGTCGACATTGGCCTTAGCCAACATCGCATGGAGGTCTTGAATCATCTTGCGATCTCTCTCCTCCAAAAGTCGGCTAGGGAATGGAGTCTTCGGTCTGAATGGGTTCGGGGACTTGTGTAAGGTAGGCTCCGGTGATGGTGTCACTGGGGTTTCCTTCTCTTTAACAACTATCTTCTCCTCCTGATCGGGCATAAGCACTGTAACTGAATTTGCATGCTCAGGCTGACTTGGCAACTTTCCCTTGTCTAAGTCAGTCTCGATGGTCCCGACCCGTGTGGCCAACTGTCCCACTTGAGTCTCGAGGCGCTTAATGGAAGCCTCGTTGTTCATGGTTCGTTGCTTGTTGTCTGCTAAAAACTGGAGGATCTTATCCAGCTTCTCATCTGAGTTTGTCGGGCTCGGTCCGGCTTCTGGTGCTGGCAACCTTAACATTTGTCCCCTGTGTTGCTGCTGATAGGGGACGAAGTTAGGTTGAGACGGCTGCTGGGAGTTGTTGTTGGACCAGGAGAAGCTTGGGTGGTTTCTCCACCCGGGGTTATACGTATTCGAGTAGGGGTCGTTCCCGGGCCGGTTCTGATACCCCTGCAATGCATTAACCTCAGCATTCTGCCCACCGTAATTTGGCTCGAGAGCCATAGGGCACACCTCAGAACTGTGTCCCTGAACTCCACATGCTCCACAAACATTTACTGCCATTGTCTGAATTGGTGAGGAACTTCGAGCATTTAGTAGCCGCATCTGCTCTGTGAGCTCGGCTAACTGCTGGGCCATATTACTCGAGCCAACCTCATTCACTGTGCACCGCTTCCCTCTGATACTCTTCTGAGACGAGTTGGCACTCTTCGTCTCGTAAATTGCAATCATTTCTTCAGCTGTTTTGCCCCCAATATCCCCTCCAGCTGCGTTGTCCACCATATACTGCAAGTTCTGGTGGAGGGAATCGTAGAAGCAATTCGCTAATAGTCCTGGAGCGAGGTTGTGGTGGGGGCACTGCCTCTGTAAGTCCTTGAAACGTTCCCAAGCCTCGTGAAGAGGCTCGTTTGGTAGCTGAGCGAAGGAGACTATCTGAGACCGAATGTCTTGGGTCTTCTGATGGGAATAGTACTTCCCAACGAATTTAGCATAGACCTCGGCCCAAGTTGTTAGAGAATCTGGGGCAAGAGTCATGAACCAAGCCTTGGCCCGGTCCTTCAAGGTTTCTGGAAAACACCGCATTTTGAGCTGGTCTTCGGTTAGCCCGTGTAGTGGGAACGTCTGGAGGACGTTATAAAACTCCCGAAGAAAGTGAAGCGGGTCTTCGTTGGGGAGCCCGTGAAAGGATGGGAGCTGATTGTAGTGGACCATCTTCAGCTCATAGTTTCGGGCGTTTTGCTCCAGCCGGATACAGGAAGTGATCGGCCCGATCATGGGTTGGGACAAATCTCGGAGGATGCTACGAGGCGGTTGTTGATCAGCCATGTCTGAGTTACTCCCCTCGGATGACTTGGGGGAAAGATCCTTTTCTGTGTGTGATTCGAGGGTCAGCTCTTCTATCAGCTCTCTCAAGCTCTCGTTAACCGACTTGTTGATTGGGGATAATATAAGTCCACTCCTGGTACGCATACACGCAAGCAACAAACAGGTTACGAGCACCAATAGTAAAGAGAATAAAATAAAATAAGAAAAAGAAATACCGAAAACAAGAAAAACACAAAACCAAAAAGAAACAAAAATAATAAGGTGAATAAGCGCACAAAATATGTCCTAAACCCTCCCCGGCAACGGCGCCAATTTGTTGTAAATATTTTTCCGGAGTAGAATCTAAAGATTCGAACACCGGGTCGTGTCTCACGAGGAAGGTTAGCCGGAATATTCTATACGTTTATTCAAAAACAAATAAAAGAAATTAAGTTCCTAAACATTCTAAATCAAAGATTGGTTTTGGTTTAATTATCAACTACTGCGACAATTCAAATTACGCAATAAAGAAAGCAAGTAACGAAGAACAATGAGGATTTGAGTAGCTAGGGAATCGGGGAGATCCGTTTTGGTTCAAATTGCAATTAATGGTCAAGTGATTATTCAGCTAAGTGATTTGACTAATCGACACGTCCAAGCACTCATTCTCAATAACTTTTCGTAACAAGAGAACAAACTAGGACGGCAAATTAACAATTCATTTAGCTTCTAGGCAATACAGTTACGAACAAGCCTAGTTCATACGAGCCTATTTCGACCGACTCCTCCCCTTTCGGTTCTAAGAGTCGATTAAAGTAGACTAGAGGGTGGTTAACCGTCTAATCAAACAGATTCCCAATTTCAAGCACGAATAAATCTAATTCAATCGAAACAATTGTAAGTTGAAGTGTCACCCTTCAACAATTATCAATATTTGAGCCCGACAATTGAAAAAACCCTAGTAAAAGATTAACTTGTACAAATTGAACAATCACGCATATGATAACTGCAATCGAATTCAAAACATCAATCCCCTATCCCTAGCATAGAGATTTAGCTACTCATAATCGAATAATCAACACAAGCAATCACAACCCAAGAATTCATATTTAACGATTAAGTCAAAAGAAAATCTTACGATTGATGAATCCCAACGTTGAATCCGATAAACAAACTTGAATCCAAAAGCAAAGGCAAAATCCAAGATCAAATCCTTGTTCTACGTTCAAAAATATGAAAGAACGATGAAAAACGAGAGAAAAAAAGAGGGGGTAGGGTTTTTGTTGTGGGTCGTCAGGATGAGAGATGTCTATCGAGAGTCCCAAAAATATTATTTATACTAATCAGGCACGGTGTGAGGAAAATGGCCGCACGGCGTGCTGGAAGTTATCTCGCGGCGCGGCAGGACGGGGCATCACGGCGCGGGAGCTGGCTGTGTCGCGGCGTGAGAAGGCCTTCACGGCGTGGAGAGTGGAAGCTTCGCGGCGCGACGCTTCTTCACGGCGCGGAGCAGGGATTGCCTGGACTTCTCTGTATGCGCGTGACGGCCTCCGCGAGATGTGGCGCGGCGCGAGGATCCTGCACTGCCGCGGCGCGATGGGTGACACGGCGTGGTGGGTGAAGCAGCGTCTCCTGAAGGTCCGTGACGGGTGCCGCGTCCCTTGCAGCGGCGTGGGGAGATGATGATGCCGCGGCGCGACGGCAGGCGCGGCGCGGGGCTGGAAAGGTGTGTCTCAGTACACGCGCGACGGGCATCACGGCGCGGTGCTCGTGCGTGGGGGTCTGGGTGCTCGGGCCTAGTTACATCACCTTGTATTTTGTGTTCGTTCGAGCTCGTTTGAAACCCGAATTCGATTCTGTTTTCTTCTGTGTGTCGCCAATGAGACGCTCTACTTAGCTAAGTTCTTCCTGTCCCATTATCGTGAAAAATAAATCCTCCTGAGCCTTGCATCCTGCACACCAAAGACGAGAAAACCGGAAAAAATACCAAAGAAACACACAAGAAAACCAAACGAGAACAAGACGAATAATAAACTACAAAACTAATAAAGACTAATGAAAGGGGCTAAAACGGGGGAGAAAGAAATAAAAATAAGAAAGAAAAATGCAACAAAAATGGGACAAACAGCGAACCACACGACAGAAGAAAAGAATGAATAACCAATAAAACAAGAAAGAAAGGAGACCAACCCCAAAGAAAAGTGACCTAGACGGAACGAGCTACCCAACCCGCGAGGAAGACGACACGCACTAACCCAAATCTCATGAGGGGAATTGAAGCTCTAGGGAGATAAATTTTCTCAAGAAGAGAACTCTTGCTCCAGTTATATAGATTCCCAAAACAAACTTTATCAATTGCATGCGCATGCAAAAATGGCTGGATTCATGGGCTAATTCCACATATTGTAGGTATCGCATGGGTCGACCATTAAGCACAAATTGGACCATGGCCAATTGCATTATCTTGTGAATCCTTCTAGATTGAATAAGATAAAAATTTGAAGGGTTCAAGTTATTCAATTCCAAGCATTCGGCCATAAAGAAGTTGAATAATTGGGTCTCAGACGGGGTGTTTGTAGAAGTTAAATTTTAAGCCAATTAATTGGTGAGAATGCCACATCATTTTTTTGGAGAATAAAATAAACCATTATTTTTTATTAGAGAGATAAATATTAAAAAATAATGTAATTATCTCTTTTGATTAATTTTGAGATTAATATTGGAAATTTACGGACCAATCAAATTGATGTCTTCTTTACCAAGCTCTCTTTACAACACCATTTCTCCCTAATATCAAAATGACAATTTATATTCAAGTTCAAGAGATTTAAAGAATTCTCTAGACGAAATTCAAGTACTCTTGAAGATCCAAAACTCTTCTTGAAGATTCGAATAATGATTTCAAGCTCAAGACTGACGTTTAATCCAAAAATAAGTTGTCAAGTCTCCGAATGGCATTATCAAAGTCAAGACCGACGTAAAGAATATCCTAGATCGACTTTGCAGCGAAGAGCGAAGACTCGTGTTCTTCACTTTCTTGGAAAATTACGACGTTCAATTCGAGATCAAGATGTCAAGCCATCGAAGACAAATTATTTAAATTCAAACTCAAGATCGATGGGATTAAACTAAAGATTCGTCTCCAAAAATCTCAAATCCATTTGAAAATTGTTCTTAATGAAATCAGTCAAAGGAAAAATAGATATTGTAATCTGCTATATTTCATTTTATCCATTGAAATCCAATTTACACGAAGTTCTCGTTTTTATTAATCATAGGAATTTTGTATTACAATGTTATTCCACACTAACATATTGCAGAATGTGGTGCTACTTTACAAATTAAGTGTGGTTTAATATTTTACTGATAATAGTAGTGCACATCTCATGGATGCATTGAGAAATCATGATAAAACTATATAAAGTTTCTGAGCGTTCAGCGTTGTGCTAATATATATATATTGATGGGTCTACTCTCAGATCTGGAGTGAACCGGTGGTAAGGAGCTCAGATCTGTTTGAATCGCCTTTGAACCGTTGCTAGACCGCGAGGATACCTGCAAAAACTCAACGCCGGAGGTGTTTCCGGCGTAGAGCTTCCGACGCTCAAGTCAGTATGAGAGTGATGAAGAGAGGATGCGCAGCAGCAATGAGGTAGAGTGGAGAATGAATGAATGAGAGTTAGGGTTTAGGGTTACCTCATCTCCTTTATATAGGAGGGAATACTTACTTGAAGTACCCGGAATGCCCCAGTCGGTGGACCTGAAAGGTCTAAATTGCCCTGGTCGATTCGTCTCCCCTTACTGCTGAGTCATGACAAGATTCCTTCTTATCCTTTGGAGGATAAGAGATTTTAAGAGATTCCACAGGTATATCGAGTCGTCAGTGTGTTTCGCGCCTCGAGGCACAAGGAGTCGACCCCGAGTATCAAGAGGTCGACTTAGGATGTTTTGCATATTTGGAGGCTACGCTTGTTGGTCTTCTTAAATAGAAGTCGACTATCTGGGAGTCGACTACATTAAGTCGACTTCTTCAAGTCGATTTTTATGATATCTTACACTTCTCGTTATCCATCTTGTGAAGAGTCGACTTTGAGGAAGTCGACTTGAGTATGTCTACGGGTTCATTTCGTCATGCGAACGGTTTGAGCCACTTACCCGGTCGAGTAGAGAGCCTTTGAGCCGGTATATCTTTATATGGCTATATCATATATATATATATATATATATTATATATATATATATATATATATAATATATATATATATATATATGTATATATTAGGGTCGCGCTCACATGAGAATGGTGCTTAGTGAAAGAAACGAGAATGAATCGCAGCCATTAGATCGGATGATCTCATGGTTAATAACAATTCAAAATTATACCCTCATTAAGGGTAATGATGTAATTTTTTACACCACATCAATAAAGTGGACCCCACTCCACATTAATCAATGTGCTAACCTACCCTATCCACGTCACCAAACAACCCCACCCACATTAACCTGCCTCACCCACCCCACCCCTCCCCACACCCTCTCTCACATACACACGCACACATATAACACACACGCCAGGAACACACACCACTGCCGTTGATGCATAGATTTCCTCCGACGGGCTCAACCAGTGCCACACCATAACCACCGTTGCACCGCCGCTGGAGCATCCCACTAATCGTCGACCGAGCTTCTCCACTGTTGGTTTCTGGCTTCTTAGGCGGTGGCCGCTTCAGACCGCCATTCAATTGCAGAGACCGGCAACGACGGTCCGATGCAGATTCCAGTCGCCAGATTTCGGCACCGCCGTCCGCCACCCATGTCCGAGGCTTCAAATCCGCCGCAGCACCGTCGCGCCTTCATCCCTTAGGCGGCAGCCGCTTCAGGCCAATCTACTCCGACTGTTCAGGAGACGTCCGCGACCAAGACACTTCTCCAATTGACGATTTCCGGCGACATGTGAAGAAGGTGTGGGCTGATTAGGGATGGGAGAAACAGAATTCAAGGAATTTGGGGCTGTAATGGGGGGGTTTGTTTTTTGGGAATTAAATGATTTGAAGGGACCTAAGTGTAAATTAAAAAGTTCTAACTAAATTTCAATTGAGTTCATGGGCCAAATTTGTAATTTATAGAAAATATAATTAAGAAAAATATTATATTTATATAAATTCATATTTTTTATACATATGTGTTATATTTTTTGCAAAACCAAAACTACTATAAAATATTATGAAACAAAAGTACTATATTAAAACATTGTTGTTATTTTAATAATTTTGTTATTTTAGCCAAAAAAATAATATCAAAATATTAAATATATTTTTATAATAATAAATAATGAAATATTTTAATTATTTAGGTTTGGATTGCACATAAAATAAAAAAAACGAATGCACAATAAACAAATGAATATTAGTGATTATAGTATTGCACATTAATGTCATACCGATTGCACATTAATGCGTTTGTGGATGCACAATATCATAAAAAAGTGTATGTTTTCACATATATTAAAATTCTGATTATTTCAATTCAGATTCGACTTAATTTTCAAATAAATGAATTAATTAAAAAACACCATTATTTATTTTCCACAAAGTATAATATAAGATATTGAATAAAAATAGATTTATTAATTATATTTTGGTGTATATAAGTTACTTGATAAATGCAAAGTAACATTAATTAAAACACATTATTAAAGTTTCTAAAGTTGAATGAAAAACGTAAACAATAAACTGCACAATAATGTTGTATTGCACGTTATTGGCAACGGGACTGCACTTTATTGCCTACGGTAGTGCACTTTATTGCTTTCGCTATTCTATTATCATATCCTTCCAAACAGTAATAACGTAAAATATTAAATATAAATATTAAAATACTAAATATATTTTTTCATAATATGAATAATAAATCTTTATGTTATTCAGGAAAATTCGATTAATTAATCAAATAGACCGGTTATTTCAGTTCAATTTTAATTTGATATGGAACAAATAATTAAAAAATGCATGTGATGTAAGTGCACAATAGTGTTATATAAGTCGCACTGTAATAACTATCATATTGCACAATATAGTCATAAATCGATCTAAATACAATTTTCATTTTAAAGTTTTATATTTCAAATCGAATATCTATTTTTACTTTTCAAATATAAGTTATTCCCGTTCGATGTTTACATTAGCTTTTAAAATAACGAAATAATCGATCCAATGGAACTATATAAATTATTATTATTATTATTATTATTATTATTATTATTATTATTATTATTATTATTATTATACATTTTTACGTATTGATATTGCACAATATTGTTAGACAGGTTGTACATAAACGACTATTAGATTGCACAATAACGATCAAGACTGTCCAAATTAAAATTTTCGATTAATTATAAATATATCCCATGAACTTAATTGTAATAAATTAATATCTTTACAATTGCAACTAGGTCCTTATATTTTATCAATTTCTCAATACAACAACCCCAATCCACAAACACCTTACAACCGCCCCCTTCCGTACAAGCCGCCTCCGCCGGCGACTGTGAACCATTGGACGACACGTCGCCGCTTCGCCGCGCCGGTGTTACGTCGGCGGCGAATTTGAAGAGATCCTATACTCATTATCTGTCCATTCCCGGCGGACTTTCTCGAGTCGCGACCACCCTACGGTGTCCAGTGGATCGACGACGGTCTTGTATGCCAGATACGACTGAGCATGAGAGATGGTCGAGCTGTGCCGGACTGTTGAGGAGCGGTTGTGGTGGAGACCACCGGCGGAGCTGTTCCGTGCTTTTGGGACAAATTGCGGCGGAGACGACATCCCCGACGAATCTGTGCCGAGCTATTGCGGATTTGGCGGAGAGACGACGTATGCGTTGGAGGAGACGACGGCCATCGACGGTGGTGGAAATCCGACGCGATTTTCCGGCGAGGTGTTACCATAGTAATAGTGAGATAGAAAGCGTCGTGGTTGTGTCTGGCAGATGTCAGGGATGTCGAGAGGCGAGTTGGTCGCAGGCGCGACGACGTGAGGCGGCGGGTGCGGTGGCTCCTGGTAGTCCGGCACCTCACAATGCGTGAGTGTGTGTGCGTGTTCTGTAATTTGTGTGTGTAAGAGAAAGAGGGAGAAGGTAGGTGGGTTGGTACAAATTTGTGGAGGAATTAATATGGTAGTGGTGGGTCCCACGTGTTGATAGGATTGAATTAAATGTCCATATTATCTTTAATTATTGGTCAAATGCACATATTTGACCCACTATGATCAAATAATTACCACATTGCCTTTAATGATTGACCATATTTTGACTTCATCTTAACCATTGATATGATTAATCACATGGTCCAGATTCATTCTTATTTCTTTCACTATCTACTTTTCTCATATGATCCTAACTCTATAAATATATATATATATATATATATATATATATATATATATATATATATATATAGGATATGGTTCAAATGAGAACCAAGTCTTAATGTGAGAACTGTGAGAACCGCTATTTTCATTGGGGCGTAGTGCTATGATTGATTGTGTTTGATGCTATTTTTAACTAGGAAAATTTTATTAAAAATAGCAACACAATTTCTGGTAGCACTTGTAAAAATAATAGCATCATCTAATATGAAAAATAGCATCATACACAATTAAAAGTAGCATAAAAAACGGTTCTCAGGGTTCTCACACCAGGACTAATTTTTATTTGAACAACCCCTATATATATATATATAGGATGTGGTTCAAATAAGAACCAAGTCCTAGCGTGAAAACCGCTATTTTTAATTGTACGCAGTGCTATGGTTGATTGTATTTTAGTGCTTTTTTTAACATGGATATATTTTATCAAAAATAGCAACACAATTTATATTAGAATATGTGAAAATGATAGTACAATGTGATATTAAAAATAGCATCATATACAACTAAAAATAGCATCAAATATGGTTCTCACGGTTCTCACACCAAGACTAGTTTTTATTTGAACCCACCCCTATATATATATATATATATATATATAGGGTCACGCTCCGGTGAGAATGGTGCTTAGTGAAAGAAATAAGAATACATCGTAGCCATTAGCTCGGATGATCTAATAGATAAAAAAAAGTCAAAATTATACCTTCATAAGGGTAGTGTAGTAATTTTTACATACAAATAGTGGGACCCACAAACACGCTAATTCCCAACACCCACGTGGGTCAAACCCACTTAGCTCCTTCTCTCTCACAAAGTCCCCCACACACACACATACTCACTGTACACACACATTAAAATCAAAGACCCGTCCAGCTCCACTATATCTGCCACCATCTTCCTCCACCATTCCCGCCGCCATCGCCGCCCTCACCGTTCCAGAAAATGGCCGCCGACATGGACATCAGGAAATCGTAGGAAAAGCACTGTTTTACGTATCTAACGATCTCAGTCGCCGTCTTCGTCACCATCGCCGCCACCGCATCTAGTCGTCTCCTCCGTGCATCTTTGCCACCGTGTGCACGTAAGTCTGACGGCGACGACAAATGACGCCAGCAGCACATCAATCAGGCTTGTGTAACCCGCCCCGCACACACTCCGACCACCTCCGGCAAGATGGTGCAAGATCCATATCCCGCGGCACCCCTAGACGATCGCCAAAATTAGGAATCCGAAGCCAAAATTAGGAATCCGATCAACAAACTTCGCCGCCCCAACCCATTAAAGACGTCGGATTTGTTAGAGACGGGTACAGAAGACGGGAAATTGAAATTGTGGGTTGGGGGCTTCATTGTGAAAATTAGACAAATCAGAGGGGCCTATTAGCAAAATTTAGAACACATTTACAATTGGGCCAACTTACAATTGATCCAATAGCTTATGTTTTTTTTATTGAATGCTCATATAAAATTGGGCCAGCTTATGTTTATTTAATTGGGCCAGCTCATATAAAATAATAATAAAAAATGTAAAATATTAAATATATTTTTATAATACAAAAATAAATTATTTAATTTGTTTGTATAAATTCGGTTAGCTCGGTTCGATTTGAGTTTGGATTTGCACATGAAAAAATACATATTATTAATATTTTTAAAAATAAAAATACAAAAAAAAAAATACTTGATCCATAGGTTACACAATAAATGGTATACGAAATGCACATTATCGACTGTGGGGATGCATATTATTGACTTCGATATTTCATCAATTATGTTTTTCCAACAAAAAACTAATATCAAATATATTTTTGTAATATAAATAATAAATCACTTAAATTATTTAGGATAGTCTAGTTAACCAATCGAACTAACCGATTATTTCAGTTTCATTTAAGTTTATTTTGGAACAAAACATTAAAAACGCATATGCTGCAATTGCACATAACGTTGGACGAATTGCACATTAATGACTAGCATATTGCACATAAAGATCGAGCTGACTCAATCGCAGTTTTCGGTTCAAACTTTCATATTCCGGTTCGATTATCTAATTTTGCTTTTTAAATCACGTTTATTTCAGTAGTTTCATTTTAGATTATTTTAGAACAAAAACATGTGCTCAAAGACAAAAATCCATCACGACTAAGGCCGAGAGGCTAGATGGTCGCATGTAACGACCACCCCTCTAAGGGTGGACATGTGCTCGAAGACAAAAATCCATCATGGCTAAGGCCGAAATGCTGGATGGTCGCATGTAACGACCACCCCTCTGAGGATGGAAATGTGCTCGAAGACAAAAATCCATCATGACTAAGGCCGAGAGGCTGGATGGTCGCATGTAACGACCACCCCTTTGAGGGTGGACATGTGCTCGAAGACAAAAATCCATCATGACTAAGGCCAAGAGGCTGGATGGTCGCATGCAACGAC